CATAGTCCAATAACAGATGATGACATTTAAAAAGCAATATCATGTTAAATGAAAGAACCCGTCCCCACATTGTCATTGGAGAAATAAAATAAGTGTAAGAAAAAAAAATTGTATCAGGAAAAAAATTTGAATCATAATTTCCTGTCAATATGCACATCTACATAGTATGTCCTTATTATCTACACAGTTTCATGAAATTCTGTTGTGTGGTTTGAGAGGAGTTGCGATGACAAAATGTTGCAGTAGTATATTGGGCAAATAAGTTCAAAGGGGCGTAACTCCTGGAAAAAAAATAGAATCGTAATTTCCTGTCGATATGCACATCTACGTAGTATATCCTTATTATCTGAAAAGGTTTCATGAAATTCTGTTGTGTGGTTTGAGAGGAGTTGCGATGACAAAAGGTTGCAGTAGTATATTGGGCAAATAAGTTCAAAGGGGCGTAACTCCTGGAAAAAAAAAATTGAATCGTAATTTCCTGTCGATATGCACATCTACGTAGTATATCCTTATTATCTGAAAAGGTTTCATGAAATACTGTTGTGTGGTTTGAGAGGAGTTGCGATGACAAAAGGTTGCAGTAGTATATTGGGCAAATAAGTTCAAAGGGGCGTAACTCCTGGAAAAAAAATTGAATCGTAATTTCCTGTCGATATGCACATCTACGTAGTATGTCCTTATTATCTGAAAAGGTTTAATGAAATTCTGTTGTGTGGTTTGAGAGGAGTTGCGATGACAAACTGTTGCAGTAGTACATTAAAGTAAATAAGTTCAAAGGGGCATAACTCCTAGAAAAAGAATTGAATCTAAATTCAAAATTGGTACACTATTCCCGATATTTTAAAACAAGATGTGCGAATACTATAGAGGAATAACAGTCACACCTATATATTCAAAAGTAATAGAATAGAATTTAGGAAATTAGGAAAAACACATGTCTTCCTGAAGAGACAGAATCAATTCATAGAAGATTTTATGAGAACACATATGTAATTTACACACAACGTGATGACCAAACTTCGATTCTATTATTTCTCTTTTTTATATCTTTTTGCAAGGGAGGTCACTATAAGATATTCATTTTGTATTTATCTCTTTTAAATCTGTTTCCAATAATTTTGTATATTCAATATTGGTGTCAATTTGATAAAACAAAATCAACAGTCAGTATAAAAGGTATGTTAACAATATATTGCCAAAAATTAATCCTCGGAAGCCCATCGTTGGTCATTTTTAGCAATATTGTTTCGCGAATCAGCGGGGTTTATTGACAAATTGCTTGAGCTAGTGGTATTCCATTTGAGAAACAGGTCGCAAATCTCATGTCCGTATTTAAAAACGTAGATACAGAAATGCATTAAGTGTGTGTACAATCAGTAATTGGACACTATATTTTAAAATGGAATACTTCATAATGTGAATAATGCAAATAGAAATTGTACCATTTGAAGTGCCTCTTTGAAATCATCTTGAGCTTAACATCCTTATGAATATGATTCTACTTAATGATACTTACAACAAGTGTTATCATGTGAAGAGGATAGAATGTCTTTTTAAACATTGCTAATTTCAGATGTCATATTAGGTAGATCATCGCCATCCCAAAATGAAACGCTTGCTTTTTATATCTATGATTTTTCAATTGATAGTATTGTGGTTACCCAGTAGTTTTTCATGTAGTAGAGAATTGATAAGAAGTAGTGGATTCGTAAACGATAATCAACGAGCGACTTTAGTCGCAAGTTGATTATCGTTTCCGAATCCACTACTTCTTATCAATTCTCTAGCTTAACCCATTTCTAGTAAAACGACTGTCTGTTTTACGTTTTGACAATGAATCAACGATATCTCATAAAAATAGTTTCGTATTTTGTCTTTTTTATTCTATAATAGCTGGAAATGATTAAATCCACACGGTTCGCATCTATATTTAGACATTTGACAAGTTAACATAAGTTTAAAATAACTTAAATGGGGTGTTAGCTCCCCTTTTTAACACCAGATTTTATTTTTGTATATGATACATATTCCATATAATGTTTAATCATTACAAATTATTTAAATTGAATAGATTTTGGTATATTTAATTTATTCAAAAAGACGTATATTAATATACAGAATTTATTTATCTTGTTTTGAAAAGTTAAAAAATTTTAATTACCAAAATTTAGAACCTTCAAAATGTATTTATATAATATTTAGCAACTTGAATTGGTATATTGGAGATTAATCACCGTGAAGCCGTTCTTAGTCAGATAAATATTACTAGCGTTGATGCCATAAACCTGCCATTTCATGATAATGCTCAAATTCATGTTGCTTTCCATAAGTATTAAAAGTATGTGCTAACGATTTAAATTGAACAATTATATTTAAATTTTGTTTAAACTGTTTCCGTTTCATTAAGTTAAGATTATTTTAACGTTATTACATTTGGCATATATCGTTCACCGGTCAATAAACTAGTTTTATCTGTGGTACGCATTCTGAATCCCCATCAGAATTGCTCTTGCTACGGACTGGCAATGAATAAGTATGTGGATTTCATTCATTTACCATCAAGCTGTTCATAGCCGTGATCGTCTAGTCGTTGGTAACGAATGTCATAACGGTGATATTAGCAGTGCAAAGTTCGAACCTAGTATCCGGAATGAAATTTTTTCATTGTAATTTTTTTCTGCACCAAAATATTGTTTTAATCCTAGAACATGTAAAAGTATTATATATATTTCATTTTCATATAATGGCGATGATTTTGTTTCTGTTTTTACTGTCAAAGAAGTAGTTTTAACCCATTTCTTAAAAAAAAAAAACATAACACACAAAATAAAAAAAAAATCAATAAACATGAACAAACCAAGATATATATATATTTCATTAGATTACAAAAGTGAATTATCAATGAGACAGACATACAGTTAAATGACATGTATTGACAATTAAGCGCTTTAAGAGTACTATTCATATAATGATTGATGTCAGCCATCGTGGTGTAGTGGTATCATGCATAGACTGAAGAGTATTGATTATAAAGAAAATACGCGCGGGTTCGAATTCTACACATGCCACTCGTTTTTGAGAGGATAAAAGATCGTAAGTTAAAAGGTTAAAGTTATAATTTAAGTTCTCTTAAGTTAATACTGTGGTCAGTGGATTCTTGAAAAATAATCTACAGTAAGAACAATAGACTGACGTCAGATAAATGGGTTAAGTGAAGGAGAACTATGTTCCAAAGTTATAACTATACCGTCACGGCTGGTAATCTACACACGCAGAACAATCGGTTCTGCAATGAAAACCGTGAGAGGATTTTCCGGAAGGTATGTACATTTCTAAATCGCAATTTTCTAATTTAACTGATCAAAATATTGAAAATCGGAGAATGCTATGCTGTGGTGAATACTTTAACGAAGAGACAAATGTATCATTTACTGTTGTGCATGGAGTAAAACTCTTACAAAATCAATCGTCCCACGAGTAATTGCCGAAAAAAGTGACATTTAAATTTTGAGATGGTTCTATTAACAGACCTACAAGTTCAAATTAAGTTTTTTTTTCTGTCAACGGGATTGAATATCGTTTTGGGTGGCGTGTACGCTGTCCGAAGTTGATACACGTCTTAATAAATCTAAAAACTGCCAATTTTCATTATTTCATGCGTGAGGGGATCGGTTCTGATTGAGGACATTGTGAATGCGTGAGGGGAAATGCAATCATATCTTTATATCGAAAAATGCAACAATCACTTCAAAGATGGGCAAGTTACTTGCATAGTTTTATTGAAGTTCATACTAAATATAAATTGACAATGGAAATGGAAATGGCTACAACGTTAAATATAAGTGGTAAACAGATTTATGATTGACATTGACTATGTTTTGTTTCTCGTGTGCATGTATAAAGACTTTAATCTATGTTATTGATGGATAGAACACGCCACCATTGTCTGCAGTGTGATAAGTCATATACTCAACGTCCAAAGCTGAACTTCCAAGTAAAGCTGGTACATGAAAACACACTAGACACAAAGTGCAGCTACTGTGACAAGACATTTTCATCTAAAGATAGTAAAAGAAGGCATGAATCTGTGGTCCACTTGGGAGCCAAGCCTTTTCATGCTGTGTAACACAAATGATTTTCAGGAGGAATTTTCAACTTTGTGCCGTCTCCGAGCGCATATAAGACAGAAGCACGCGGAAAAATTAAAATGTGACATTTGTGGAGGGGAGTTTTCCTATCAGCATACATTGGTGGAACACAAAGAAAGATGCGGCACAAGATCACCTCCAAAATTTATCTGTTGTGGAAATAGAATTTGCTCTGCATCGTTCACAACTAAACATAGATTTTAAGTCTTAATACATGCACACGAGAAAACAAAAACATAGTCAATCCTAAATCTAATCTAAATCCACTTATATTTACGTTGTAGCCATTTCCATTGTCAATTCATATTTAGTATGAACTTCAATAAAACTATGCAAGTAACTTGCCCATCTTTGAAGTGATTGTTGCATTTTTCGATATAAAGATATGATTGCACTTCCCCTCACGCATTCACGATGTCCTCAATCAGAACCGATCCCCTCACGCATGAAATAATGAAAATTGGCAGTTTTTAGATTTATTAAGACGTCTATCAACTTCGGACAGCGTACACGCCACCCAAAACGACATTCAATCCCGTTGACAGAAAAAAAATCTAAATTTGAACTTGTAGGTCTGTTAATAGAACCATCTCAAAATTTAAATGTCACTTTTTTCGGCAATTACTCGTGGGACGATTGATTTTGTAGGAGTTTTACTCCATGCACAACAGTAAATGATATATGTGTCTCTTCGTTAAAGTATTCACCACAGCATAGCATTCTCCGATTTTCAATATTTTGATCAGTTGAATTAAAAAATTGCGATTTAGAAATGTACATACCTTTCGAAGCGTTGACAATTACTCCACTCAAGCATAACCGGAAAATCCTCTCACGGTTTTCATTGCAGAACCGATTGTTCTGCGTGTGTAGATTACCAGCATTGACCGTTGGTGGATAACATGAAAGCATCGCTGAAGGCCGATATTGACGTTTCACAGATTAATAAGTATCTTAAAGCATATATAAAACAGGAGATCAATACAGAAATACGCACTATAATGAAAGATGTTATTGAAGAAATAATAGAAAACAAAACTAGCAGCTTGAAGGAAGAAAATGTATCATTGCAGCAGGGTAAGTTAAATATATATATAATTTACAGTTGTCACTACACAAAGGCAGAAATGTCTCATTATAAATTCAAAGTGATTGTATGCTTCTAAAAATAGATTAGCATCCTGTAATTATACTGAAGAGATGAGTAGATGATAATTCCTGTACAGTTGCATCCCTTGCAAGAAACAAACGATGTCTTGATTGCAAGCAAATACTGAATACCCAGACTTTTAACAGTCACTCCAATGGTACGGAATACACCATATTTTGCAATGTTAATTGCAAGACTACTAATGTTGTGTATCTTCTACAGTGTAAATGTGGTAAACAGTATGTTGGCGAGTCAGAACAGCCATTTCACAAACATATGAATGGCCATCGTAGCAACTTCCTCTCAGTCGACATTTGAGATCCCCTGGCCACACTAAGGCAGATCTCAATCGACTGACCAATACAATCATAGACCACAACACTGCTTGGTCTAGGGAAGATAGACTCACTCGGGAAAGATTTTGGATAAGAAAATAAAACACTTTGGCACCAAATGGGATCAATGAAAAGGTTCCACTTCACGCAGTGCTTTTCATTTGGGTTATATTACAGTTTTAATTACAGGGTGCTATTCATTTGGGATGTATAAATACGCAGCCACGGTGAATTACCTAACCTTTGTCAAAATTAAAAATTTTATTTGGGATGTGTAAATACGCAGCCTCTGTTGTTATTACTTTACTTCGTCAAATTTGAAATTTGAGTATTAAACCAGCTCAAATCGGTCAGTGATATTCATTTGAAATGTTTTTCTACACAGTCTTTGTTGTAATAACTCAACTTTCGTCACCTGTGCAATTTTAGAAATGTACCAGTTCATATCGCACATTACTATCTATGATAGAAGCATATCTATGCAGTCTTTGTTGTAAATACCTAACCTACGTCATATTTGAAATTTTAGAAATGTACAAGCGTTGTTCGATATATCTTTTATCCGAAATATTTATATATACTACATTTAATGTTTCCTTTTTTTAATAATGGTGTTGTTTTGTACACTTTTTAGGCATTTATATATATTATATTATATTTGCCTTCGGGTTTATATGATCCGTTCATCCTATTTCGACTCTTCCATATTCAAGAGTCTATCCTAAATTGATGTAAATTATATTGCCTTCCAAATACAACACAGGGGACAACATGATTTTAGGGGGGTGGGGTTGAACATTTAAATTACAATATTTTACTGGAAGAAATATAAGAATGAGTGTTTAATTGGCAAGGGTTGGTGCATTATATACTTTAGTTAATACTGAAACTTAAAATTTTCCAAAAAGATGGTTGAATAAAAAAATAATTGCTGGTGAAAGATAGAACATGGAAATTATACTTTTTCAGATATTGTCTCATATATTATATATAAAACGTCTAGATATAAGTCAACAATCTTTCTTACGAGGGCGCTGGATAGTCACGAGTAACGATACATGTACACAATAAATAAATTATATTAACGCCTACAGAGTGTACAAACGAACACCAATATTAAAAAAAGGAAACATTAATTGTAATTATATATAAATATTTCGGATAACAGATATCCTTCATCAGTATGATTATGATGTAAAATTTTTATTTATTATATAAATATATTATTATTAAAAAGTAAAATAACCAACAAAAAAAAACCGATCTCCAATGGAAATTCAAAACGGACAGTCCTTTATAAAATGGCAAAATCAAAAGGTCAAACACATCTAACGAATGGAAAACAACTGTCATATTCCTGACTTGGTACAGGCATTTCCTTATGTAGAAATGGTGGATTAAACCTGGTTTTATAGCTAGCTAAACCTCTTACTTTTGTGACAGTCGCATAGAATTCCATTATATTGACAACAATGTGTGAGCAAAACAAACAGACATAATAGGTAAAAACGTAAAAAAATGGGGTACAGCAGTCAACATTGTAATATACTAGTAATCTTAATCGCTACAAAAACAAATAACTGTTTCAGCAAAGAAGCACAAAATGGCATAAAGACAAAGTACATAAGCAAAAATGAAAGACAAGAACTCAAAATTGACCATAGCATAATAACACAATGGCGAAATGTATAAGTACCGATCCACAACATAAGTATATGGATATACAGTAAAGATTAAAAATATACAACGAAAAAAAAGGGGTGGACTTTAACACTTAATTAAGATGATAAACAACGTCAGTACCTAGAATCTATACTTCAAGACCATCGTGTAATATTTGTGAAGTTGATACGGAATATTTATCAACAAGGTCTTGGTATCTTCCAATGAACTTTTTTAGAAATAGGACGAGACGTTCTCTGACATGACCTTGGTTCCTGAACTTTCTGCTCAGACACTGGTTAAACTTATTTTACGGAGTTTTGAGCAATTATTATATTGACCGTAGATTATACACTTCATGATTTAAAATTATAGGAAAAAGGTTCAATGAATCCTGCTCATCAACACGAGAATGTAAAGAAACGTTAACCTGTGAAAATCGTTATTGTCAATGCAGCGGTACAGAACACTGGAATGGAATGCAATGCTTAGGAAGTAAGTAATATAGTAAATCATTTATTTACACGATATTGTAATGTCCTGACCATTAAGTATAACCGACGATTGGGTTCAAGCATGAAAGACTATCAGGTGCTGATACTTTATTCCTAAAACAATCTAACAAATGATAAAAGGCTGAAAATACAAAATGAAATACAATTTTACAATGTGTTGAATTAATGCTATAATGTATGAAATGTCAAATATAAATAATAGCACAGTCCATTGAACGCGAAATTAAGTTGCAATTATAATAGTGAAATTTCTGGTATATCACGGATAAAGAGTTCAAATAGATGATGATCGTTTGAAGGCATCAAATATAAAGTTATAAATGTAACTCACTCTGTGGTTAGCCACTAATTGTGTCCTAGATGACGTTTGTCCTTAAATGTTCTCCAGTTCTGTAATGACCTTGCAGTTCAGTTCGACATATGTGTAAGAAAGGGAACAGATAACGATGGTAACAATATTTTGAAGTTCCTATACGAATTAAAGATGAATAATCCTCCTAAATCAGGAACACATAAACAGATTAAATATTACCACCTTTGTAAAAGTACTTAGTATGACAACAAATTTTCACTTCTGTACTCGTACTGTGAACAACAAATTTATTAATTTTGTAAAAAATGTTTACTTCCGTACTCCTAACAACTAAATTATTATATTTAAATTTACCTGTGTACTTTGGTGGCAGAAACAAGTTATTTTACAATAAATCTTTAGAATTTCATGGATTTATGATTTAATTTTCTTGAAAATCATTCAAGCTTATATACAAATAAAATGTATGGTTTCGAGCAACTAAGATGTGTGCGTGCTTATGTGAATATATAAAAAACCTATAAATTTGGGTGTCTGTCCAGCATGTAGATTTTAAAATTTATAAATGCATTGCAAATACGGCAAAAAATGTGATGCTCTGATACAAGTCTAATCCTCACCTTCAGAATCCTGCTAATAGCAGACAAGAAGTTTAGGCAAAATTCAGGAGATAAATGATATTCAATGAATTAGAGCCTTGTCTGCACCTATCCTTACCATCAAAATCTCAAGATATTATTGTTTACATAAAATTGATTTTTTTCCCAACTTTGATTAGATGCCGTCAAGTGAGGAGACCACAATTTTGACTTCTGATTGGACCCATATGTGAAGGAAATCCCCAACCTGTGTATGTAACTACTTACTTATTGTCTCTAATATTGGAATATTTTTGATGCAAGTCTTGATTTTCACATAATTTACTTACTGAATCTTAGGAGACTTTTCAGTTCATGGTAGGTAGGCTGACTGACAATAGAATAGATATGAATTGTTTTCAATGTCTATGGCTTTTTTATTTGTTTGTCAAGATATATATATATGAATATGTGAAGTGAAGATGACTACTGGTTGTTCTGTTGTACAAAGAAGTAGCTCAAGACTACATCCACCAGAGTCCAAATAATGTGGCTGTTGGCAGTTATAAGTCCCTTTACAGACCTCAACAATGAACAAAACCGGTTCATTGTTTTCAGGCACCATAGGAAAAAGAGGAGTTGTGGCCTGGTGGCTTACAAGAAAATATAAGAAATATAATATTAATAATATAAATATAAAAATAAGAGAGACAAAAAAGACAGGACTGAACCACTGGACTATATATAAAGTGCTCCATTACTAATCCTTAGAGGAGCTGCTGATCTATACTTAGAAAAGAAAGATGTTGAGGACTTAGCCAGGGCAACCAGAATTTTGAGACTTAGGAACAACAGAGTAGATATGGGGACACCACATATATAGGCCAATCTGCCCTATTTGATGCCACCTATTAAAATTAATGCCTAGGATGGTAATTAAACCCATGTGCATTTAATCTGTTGTTCTCTATGTGCATGTACATATATAATATATATTAAATGCAAAAAATGCAGCTGTAATGTAAATATGGTAATTTTACATCATTATAGCCTCATTTTTTATAAGGACATAGCTAGACCTATTTCTTAGGAAAGGTGTTTCAAACAACTCTAAAAACAATACAATCCAGTGTTCTCCCTAGGATTTTTTTATAGCGCTGTGGTAAGCGCGCGATATTAGATTGATTCACCTTAAGTTTCGTGTTTGCGACTTGATGTTACATTTATCTATAACTTGATTTGGTTATATTATACTAAATAGACAAAGACCTGCATTTTTTATACATGTGCCATCTGAATAAACAGAAATGCAAATAAGTGACATTTTTATTATTAAACTTTAAAATTAAAATGCCTAGATAACTTAAATAATTTGATTTCATAACCACCCGTCCCCAAATGTAGCACAGTAGGTATATCTTTTTTTCTCACTTTTAGTTGTTTGACTTATAAACAAGTTATATATCCTTTACAGCTTCATAATTTACTGACATATATTTAAAGACGGTTTTCAATGACAAAATTGGAATGTTTTCATTAACTTTTATTTACATCTATCAAATTACAGTTTTGCAATTAAAATTGGTATATCCTTTAATATCAAAGGAAGAAATGGAATAACTCTTTCCATAAGTTCTGAAATGTTATTAAAGATGTGTTTAAAAAAGGCTAACATAGTTGATCATATTCCAAGATGAACATGATAGAAATCTTTTTTTTAAGAAGTCTTTTTTTATTATTAAAGGTGGATTATCAATAAAGAAATGTTTGCCAATTGAAAAATTACTACCGCCTTTTAAAGTTGTGTTTGGTAATTTTATGAATATTTGAATTATTGCCACCAGAAATATTTTACAAGATTTGACAATTCTGGTTTTAGCACTTTTGTCCACCAAAATTATCTCCCTTATGCAACTTCCTGTTTACACTAATGGCTTTCTTTATGAATCATTAAATGCCATTCCTAATCCAAACCATCCACTGTTAACATTGATTTAAAAATAATATTTATTCAATATTATTGAAAAGTGGATGGCAAATCTCAATATTTTATATTTATTTACAAGAATTTTTTGTTTAGTCTGGGAACAGTATATATGTTCCTAGTTTAGTTATCCACTATTCGATTTTGAAAAAAAGGATGCAAGGACAAGTAATCGAAAAATTCGGACTTGTAATGGACAACGCGAATGCTTTTCTCAAATTAATACAGGTTCAACAGTTTATTTGAAATAGAAAAAGTAATGAAATAATCGTAGATGTTTCAAAAATGGACGAGACCACGTTGTCAGAGAAAGGGTAAAACTTTCCTTAAATACTTTTGGAATGATTTATTGAGCACTGTCTACTCCTTTCATAAAGTTTCTGCATCTTTTAATTCTTTTTAAAGTGAAAAAATGTAGAAAGAAAAAAAGTCTTTTTGGCAGAAAAACTTCTGCAAAAGCCACCATTTTGTTCTTTAATTGAACGATATTTGACCTATGTCTGCAGCTATAACTTTGTAAACAAAATACATACGCACCGCGTGGATAATATTTTTTTTAATAATTTTTAAGTTCAGCTGACAAGAAAGGTTGACATTCTTTCAAGAACTATTATGTCTAGCGATTGGTTATCATTGGTATGTAAAAAGTCCAAAACCATAACAAAACGGAGCTATTTATATTCTGATTTTTTTACGGATTGTAAAGACATGCACATAAAAGCTATCGGAATTCCAATGGGAACTAACTGTGCACAACTTATTGCGGACCTTTTTTGTATTGCTATGATTTACAATTTATGACAAAAATCAGCAAAGACTAATCGAAACAACATCTGATACACAAATTTAATAATACTTTTAGATATTTGGATGATATTTTGGCTCTCAATAATGACGACTTCAGTATGTATACTAAAGAAATTTATCCTGTTGAACTTACTTTAAATAAAGCTAATACTAACAATGACCACTGCCCTTTCCTCGATCTTGATATCTATATCATTAACGGAAAGCTTAATACTAAAATATATGATAAAAGAGATGATTTTTCATTTCCTATCGTTAATTATCCATTTTTAGATGGTGACGTTCCCTTGTCACCATCTTACGGTGTTTATATATCTCAACTTGTACGATTCGCTCGTGTATGTAACAATGTTTTAGATTTTAACGAGAGAAATTTATGTATTACTGAACAATTATTACACCAGGGTTTTCGATATCACAAACTAGTCAAAACATTTACTAAATTTTATCATTGGTATAAGGACATCATTCGTAAATATAGCTCAACATGCAGACTTCTTATACGTTCAGGTATTTCACATCCAATTTTTTATGGAAATATTCTTTATAAAGCACAAAAATGTCAGTATTCACCTCTGAAGCTAACAAAACCTTTAGATAGACTTATTAAGAAGGGATATAGTTACGATTCTGTTGTCAGGTCATTAAAGATTGCATATTTTGGCGTTAATATTGATTCACTTATAGGGTCTTTGCATCGGCACTACACACATTTATTTAAAAACCCCAGTTGTTGGCATGACACGGGTTATGTTCTTCTCATATATGTTATGATGGTATGATACTAAACCCCTAACGGGAAGGATTGTGCCTGATATTCATATGATGAAGACATAATCTTTCAATCAGTTTAATTGAAGTCTGGAGCTGGCATGTCAGTTAACTGCTAGTAGTCTGTTGTTATTTATGTATTATTGTCATTTTGTTTATTTTCTTTGGTTACATCTTCTGACATCAGACTCGGACTTCTCTTGAACTGAATTTTAATGTGCGTATTGTTATGCGTTTACTTTTCTACATTGGCTAGAGGTATAGGGGGAGGGTTGAGATCTCATAAATATGTTTAACCCCGCCGCATTTTTGCGCCTGTCCCAAGTCAGGAGCCTCTAGCCTGTTAGTCTTGTATTATTTTTAATTTTAGTTTCTTGTGTACAATTTGGAGTTTAGTATGGCGTTCATTATCACTGAACTAGTATATATATTTGTTTAGGGGCCAGCTGAAGGACGCCTCCGGGTGCGGGAATTTCTCGCTGCATTGAAGACCTGTTGGTGACCTTCTGCTGTTGTCTGTTCTATGG